GGTCACAAACAGGTCTACCCAGATATCTTGTTTCACATGTCAGAAAAGGGTTGTAGCAGTACTTTTCTCACCACTTCTGAGCAGTCCATATACTCACTAGTTTCTATTCACTGGATAACTAAAATCGATGGTAGGATAAACTGCTCTTCCAAGGAGACACCCATACTAAAAACAGCTCTGATTCTGACTGGGGAATTCTGGGATCGCTAAACTAAATCCCATACTCCCAGAATGTTTTCCCATCTTGGAGACAAATGCTGATTGTTTTCCAAAATTCAGTCCTCCAGTTTGCAATTCTTGAGGCACTATGGGATACCTGCTGTAATGATCCAAACTGCACAGATTCTGTATAGTAGAGAGCATTAAGTGTAGATTTGCCAGCATTTGTTGTGAGGATGCACTGAATCATCTCAAACACCTAAACTCAGCAACAGTTTTCAGAAAATAGATCTGACATCTTTACAAAATGCATTGTGATGAGAAGAATATGAATCATAGAATCATAGACTTTAAGGTCAGAAGGGACCATTATGATCATCTAGTCCGACCTTCTGCACAACGCAGACCACAGAATCTCACCCACTCACTCCTGTAACAAACCCTTAACCTATATCTGAGCCACTGAAGTCCTCAAATCATGGTTTAAAGACTTCAAGGTGCAAAGAATCCTCCAGCACATGACCCGTGCCCCACGCTACAGAGGAAGGCAAAAAAACCCCAGGGCCTCTGCCAATCTGCCCTGGGGGAAAATTCCTTCCTGACCCCAAATATGGTGATCAGCTAAAACCTGAGCATGTGGGCAAGACTCACCAGCCAGACACCCAGGAAAGAATTCTCTGTAGTAACTCAGATCCCACCCCATCTAACATCCCATCACAAGCCATTGGGCATATTTACCGCTAATAGTCAAAGATCAATTAATTGCCAAAATTAGGCTATCCCATCATACCATCCCCTCCATAAACTTATCAAGCTTAGTCTTGAAGCCAATGTACATACATGTTCAGATGTACATTCTTGTTCAAACTCTGACTGAAGGTAGGGATATCGGAATAGGGATATCGGAATAGGGAGGTGGAAGAATCAACAGCCTTTATGTAGGATCATTTTATTGTCCTGGTTTTGAAATAAAAACAGTCAAGGGCACAACATGCAAATCTGGGTTGGTCTTAAATAGATCACGATAGATGACCCATGTTCAAGAAAGATGAATTCAAACAGGCACAGGTGTAGAAAAGGGTTACTAGGATGATGAGGGGAATGGAGCCCTATCTTACAAGAGGAGGCTAAAAGAGCTTGGCTTGTTTAGCAAAACAAAGGCTGGGAGGGGATATAATTGCTCTCCCTCAATACAGGGAGGGTGAAGAGATATTTAAGCTATGGGACAGTGTTGGCACAAGAATAAATGGGTATAAATTGACCATGAATAAATTTAGGTGGGAAATTTGAAGAAGGTTTCTAACCATCAGAGGGGTGAGGATCTGGAACAGCCTCCCAACAGGAACTGTAGAGGCAAACAAACTAATTAGCTTTAAGATAATTTATGAAGTAGGACTGTATGACTGGGTTGCCTGCACTGAGAGAGGACTGGGCTAGGCACCTCTGGACATCTCTTATGGTTCATGCCTTATGTTCCTAAAATCTCACACTTCAGAGGCTTCTCGTGGGTCTCACTCATATGCTCAGGGTCTAACTGACCACCATATCCAAGGATGGGAAGCAATATTCCCACAAGTCAAATGCGCACAGATATTGGGCATTTTTTGCCTTCTTCTGCAGCATGGATCACAGGTCAGTTGCTAGGAACATCTGGGTATATCTTACTAAATCAATTCCCTGCCATTGCATTGGTGCACCTCAGTTCTGTTCACTGACTTTGGCACACAATAGTTCAGTTTCCTGAAGACTGTAACACTTTGGTCTAATTCTGGTTGTTGGGCTTGGTCTGGATGTGGTTGGGTGGCGTTTAGTGGTCTGTGATGTGCAGGAGGTCAGACGGATGGTCCTTTCTGGCCTTAACTCTATAACAACTCCACTGGGACCCCTGCAAAACTACTATTTTGCTGTTAGCTACTTAAAGCAGATTATATATTGCTCCAGGTTTCTAATTCAAATAAATTAAAGTGTTTCTATTAATAGAGAATAACCTTTTAAAAATTCAAAGTTTAAAAGCAGGCACAGAAAAGGATAAATATAGCTACTTACTGATTCCATACTTTGTCATATAATATTCTTTAGTAAATTCATCACAGTCACAGAGTTTTACCCTCCTTCCCCAAACATTGATCACTGCCCCTATTGTCAGGTCAGAGTCTTTGTAAAATTCCTGATGCACAGTTCCTGTCTAATAAAAGAAAAAACATTTAAGAAGCACCTCTATGGAACTTTCTTAAAAAAACAAAACAAAAAACTGTTGAAATTTTACATAAATATTTGATCTTTAACAAAAAAACCTCCATATTTCACATTTTAGATGTTTTTACTCCCACTCCAAGCTAAAGCTTTTTCTAAACATTTTCACAAACACTGCATATTAAATTTCAACACTGCTCATTTAAGCAGTTCTACAGTGACACCAACATTCTTACAAATAACCTTCTTTGTTTTAAATAAGCAGGATGTTAGAAATGATAAAGCAACTGTAATTACATTAGATGGCCTGAGGTATTCAAAAATATCTGACCTTACGATTGTCCAGAATGTAACGGCCTTTATTTCCTACTAAGCCTCCAAACACATTGAGAACTGTGCGATCTGTGATTGCACCAGGCTGATACAGCCCTGCTGGAGCATACTGCAAGGAAAAAGAACAGACGCTTAAGAACAGAGACTTCAGTTACCAAACAAAACCAGTAGTTGTATGAGACAATTTTTATGTGACTGTTTTTGTGTGAACATTTTTAGTGACCATATTGAGGTGTGCTAATGTTACTGACCTCCAAAGCCACTCTGCTGTTCAAACTATACATTCAGAGTCCTACTGTGCACCCAAGGGCACAGTCTCTTTCTCTGAAGCAAATGGAAAGCAAAGGTTGGCACAACTAAAGTATTGCATATCTTATTATTATTGCTGGTAGTTATTATATTATTGTAGCATGTAAAAGCTGCAAACGGGATTGGGGCCCCATTGTGTTGGGTTCTGTACAAATATAGAAAAGAGCTAATCAGCCTGTTCTATTGTGATGAATGTTCCTATAGGAGGTTTTTAATTTATACTAGTAATTTATTCTAGTTATAACCAAAAAAAAAATACAAAACATTTTTAGATGAAGAATCAACTAGATGTGCGTATAACTAAAACAGATCTCATTATCTTTAATGTAACCCCAGTCTCTCCTGTATACCATCCCCATTTTGGGTAATCCTTTGCTGCCCCTTTCTCTAACTTCCATTGACTTCAGAGAGAAATAGACCCTTGAATCCCAATCCTTCAATGAGCAGTGCATGGATACAGGGTCTGTTAAGTCAGAGCTCATTGCAAGATCAGGGTCCCAGACTGTTGGCTCTTTAAGGCAGGGATCTGTTTATTTTTTAACTTGGCCTATAAACACCTATGGCTTACAAAATTAAATATTATAACAAATATTAAAAGCAAAGGAGGGGGGAAATAATTCATCACTGCATTACTCCAGACTTATAATGGTTCAAGTCTATCACCAGTTTAAAAATGGAATGACACAAAAACATTGTATTCAAACTCTAAAATGGTAAATAAGTTATGGAGGACTAAACTAATTAGTAGACCCTCTCTAAGGTCCTGATCTAATATCCATTGAAGTCAGTGGAATGACTCCCATTGACTTCAGCTGGCTTTGAATTAAGTTAAAGCAATGATACTGTAGCTGCTAGCAACAATTTACATTGCTGAATCTTGAAACTAGACTTTTTTTAAGGACTTAGGAAAAAATCATGGCCCAATTCTGAATGCACATCAGTTTTATGATGGTGTAACTCCACTAATTTCAATGGACTTATACTGATTTACACTGGTGTGCTGGAGTAATAAACTATTAAACTTAAATTTCTGCATTGGTATAAAATTATAAGGAAAAGGAAATTGTAGAATACAAACCTATTACTTCACCCATCTGAATTTTCTCTCTTCTTGATTAAGTATAGCATGCCCAAGCCTAATTATTTTTTTATAATTTTTGTACCTATTGTGTGATCAAATACGTAGGCAAGAAAAAAATCCCATAATTGTGGTTATTCTCAGTCATTTTGATAATATACTGTAATTATCATTATACTCCTAATACAGGCACTTCACAATAATGCATTTAAGCTGTTAGTTGGCAAAAGAACTTAAAATATGCTGTATTTTTTATTCTTCACCTTTGGTAGCTTCTTCCTATTGAGGAAAAGTGGAACAGCATCGCGGCCTGAGTTTACTGGTATCACTTCTTTTATTTCAATAGTATCATCAGCCAAAAAATAGTGCAGAATAAGTTCTCGTGGGTCCCCAAACGTGGATTCTGTATCATCCCACATACAGTAAAAACGTAAAACGTGTCCATCGTACTCCAGAAACTGTTTCAGAGTGTCAAAGCGCTCATAAGGGCGCAAGGGCTTCATACTATCTGCTATCTGAAGATCAAGGAGAAATGAAAGAGAGTTTTAAAATTACATGTTCTCAAGTGCAGAAAAAAAACAGGGTAAAGACATGTTCTCAGATTAGTTTTAAGGGTTTCAAATTATGTAATTTAGCTACAGTAAATCAAACACAACATAGCCAAAGCACTATTTGAAAAAAGAAGATACTCTCGGTATATTTTTGAAAAGATCAATTATTTTAGACTTTTAAATCCTTGTTTCTCTTGCTATAAACAGTCCTTCTGATCAAAAAATTGGCAAGTTTTTAACGATAAGATATTAATCACCCTCTTTGATTTCTTTGAAGATATTTTATATCAGTAATTAATTATTGTGGAAGAAAGTTTAAACTAAAAAAAATTTTTTACAGGATTTAACATATAATGATTTGGTTATATGGAACCTTGAGCTACAAAGTGATCTATGTGGTTTACACTTATTGAATGGGGTATATTCCCTTCTTGGCATGCACTCATTTGTATAAATAGGAATTACACATATGCTTCAAAATGAAAATATATCCCATTTAGTATAAGATCTGAAAAGCAGCAGTTTCCAGTCATAGGAAGTTCCAGGATGGAGAAGTATTGCATTATATCTTACCCTGGGCTAAAGTTTTAGGCCCCAATTTAGGACAGCTTTTATATATGTTTAACTTTAAACACATGCTTAATGCTGTCCTGAATACGTATGCTTTGCTTAATTGAGAACTTGCACTGTCCAAAGAGGATGAAAGATGGCAGAATGGTGATTTTAACTGGCAAAAAATATGTAAAATTGTTGCTGAAAAAAAGCATAGGATGCAGTCAAAGAGATGATATAAACCAAGGTGTTTGAAATTAAAAAATAACTGTTGATTTGGAGTTTTCAAGGCTTCTGCGGAGCTTACATAATTGTTTTAGAAACAGACTAAACTTGATCAATCGAGACAAATTTTTGATGGTTTACATGTGGACGCATCCTTTGACCTTTATAGCACTTAGATGGGACAACTTTTGGATATTTTCTTCTCCTTAAGGGGAACTTGAAAACTTTCTAGAATGTGATCCTAAGCTTTGCACATCCATGTCACAACCAACCAGCACCAGCATTTCCATCATAGTCACCACCCTCCCCCAACGTTGGAATGCAGGGATTTACCATCACACAATTTGGCATTCTTTTCCCTAGACCTCCAAGGTGCTGTGACCAGACTAAACAAGAAGAGGGAACTAGGCAACATCACTTTTTCCATGGCGGTGTCTGAGCAACTGCAGAGATGTGAATCTAACGTTCCTACTGCACCTTGTTTGTGTAGCATTTTCCACCCCCACCTTATTCCTCCTGCTTCTCTCTCATCTTTCTCTTTTTGCCGTGTGCTTATTTAGAGCTTGGTTTAGCCAACCAAGAGAGGCTTCACCTTGTTCAAAGTGGTCCTGAGCAGCCCAATCATAGTAAAATAAAAGATTTGTCTTCCACTGACTAGTCACAGAAAAATAAGAGCCACAAAACCGGCTGGAATTTGCACTACAGCTGTGTGTATGATTTTCCAGTAGTTGAACTGCAAATACCAAAAGAGAGAAGCTTCATTTTCATTCTTCTCTCTCTCTCTCTCTCCCCATTTGAGTGAGTTTATTTTGCATTTCTTAAAAAAAAAAATAGGATTGACCTTTAGCAATAAAAGCTATCGAGCAAAGACACCCATTACCAACTAAGAGCTCATCAACATTAGGAAAATTCATCCTGGGTGTGTTTTCACACAAGTGTATTCTATAGAGTCAGATTAAAACAAAGGGATAGGCCCAATACCTGAAGTCATGTGATGAGTTCAAAATTTCAGTTTTCATTTGACAAAAAAAAATAAAGGAAGTTTCTAGCCCTTGTAGTTATGGTGAAAAGTTTGAAAACATCAACAAAGGACAACTAATGCACAGATGTCTGCCTGAGACTGCAGACAGCCTGACACAGCTTCCAAGATGTGCAGGCTGCCCCATGGATCTTTATGGGGTGTTAAATCCCATTGTCACTGCTGGTCACTGTCACAGAGGAGCCTCAACAACAGGAAGGGAGAGACAGACATGTGGGGTCTGTACTAATTGCTGCTTCCATGGATGCTGGCTGGACCCCTGACAACTGTCTGCAAACCCCTGACCACAACTCCCACTAAGGGCAGGTCAGAAAAAAAGCACAATGCCTCCTCTCCTCCATGCTGATGAGGAAGAAAAGGAGACATGGCCCTCAAGAAAGTGACCAGGGAAAAATCTCTTGTTGCTACTCCCACTGCTCTTCCCTGATTTGTGGGGAGACAGATCCCAAACCCTGCAGAAAACAAAAATCTATACAGTGTTTAGGAACTGACAGGGAGGGAGACTTGGTGGGATGTGTGCATGTGCACATGAAACTGGAAGCTTGTGAGACAGAGTGGATGCCAGGCAAGGGTGCGACTGGGACCTTGGGGATGCAAGAATTTGTTTCATATAACACAGTGGTTCCCAAACTTGTTCCACAGCTTGTTCAGGGAAAGCCCCTGGCGGTCCGGGCCGGTTTGTGTACCTGCCGCGACTGCAGGTTCGGCCGATCGCAGCTCCCACTGGCCGCAGTTCACTGCTCCAGGCCAATGGGAGCTGCTGGAAGTGGCAGCCAGTACGTCCCTCGGCCCGCGCCACTTCCAGCAGCTCCCATTGGCCTGGAGCAGCGAACCGCGGGCACTGAGAGCCACGATCGGCCGAACCTGCGGACACGGCAAGTAAACAAACCGGCCCGGCCCACCAGGGGCTTTCCCTGCACAAGCAGCAAAACAAGTTTGGGAACCACTGATGTAACATAGTTTTAATAAGCAGAGGGTGTAGGGACTAATGAGGACATAGAAAAGTGCCCAAATGAATGAGTCTACAGTCACACATGTGCTTGGACCATAGAATCATAGAGTTAGAAGGGACTGCAAGGGTCATCTAGTCTAACCCCCTGCCAAGATGCAGGATTTGTTGTGTCTAAAACATCCAAGACAGATGGCGATCCCTATCCAAACTCCCTTTGAAAACCTCAAGTGAAGGAGCTTCCCTGGGCAGTCTGTTCAATTGCCATATTGTTCTTACAGTTAGGAAATTTTTCCTGAGATTTAATCTAAATCTGCTATGCTGTAGTTTGAACCCACTGCGTCTTGTCCTGCCCTCTGTAGAAAGAGAGAACAACTTTTCTCCATCTTTTTTTTTTTTGGCTAACCTTTCAAGTACTTGAAGACCATTATCAACGTCCCCTTCTGAATCTCCTCTTTTCCAAACTAAACAT